AAAAAAGTACAGTAACTATATGCCAACAACACCCATTGGTTCGCCTCTACAAAAGCCCGCTTACACCAAGGAAAACAGAGCAATGACAAAAACTTAGTTTTCTAATTCATAGTGCTGTGAAAAACACTTTGAAGCAGCGTCGCACAGCTTCGATCTAGCAGAATCTCATACGGTAGGTTACGCTGTCGCCGCAGTGATCCAACCTATTGGTTAATCTCGCCCAGCCTTTCCCTCCAAGAAGTACATTTATGGCATCTCCCAATGGCATTATGTGCACCACTGCGAGATTGAGAAAAAAAAACTTGAAAAGAAAACAACCCTGCCAATCCACTGCATAAAAATGGAAAAGACAATCATTTACAAAAGCAATCAACACCAACCTTATCGAAGTGATTAACAATTCGAGTGACTAGATGTGGATGTTGCTTCAGTATGTCATCCCAGCCTGGTGTTGATGTGATGTACTTTGGGCGTTGCAGAATGAACTAAATGTACTCGATTTCAGGAATCTTTCGATCTACATGGCTATAAACTCTTGACTACGCACTTGACCTCACTCGTATTCTAAATTAAACCCCGAAGACTCGTTAATTGAAAAATAAAAAAGAATTGCTGAAACGACACACCTGCACCGCCCGTTCCTGCAATCGTTCCGCATTGTACAAATCGCCTATTATCAACAACTGACACACATTCTCATTCGCCAAGTTCTCCACAAGAAATTTCTCGCAGTGGTTCTAGAACACATGAGCATTAGTTTCGAAGCTGGTGAGCTCTCTGATTACGTAACTACTTGAACTCTCTCGCATGTTCTCTGCCGAGAAAGGCCAGAGCACAGACGATTAGAGAACGGTGCCTGGCTCGGCTCCAAATCCCAACCAAGAAGGTGAGAGCTCTAGGACTAAGCCTTGGAGGGAGGAGGGACTCCGAGTGGTGAGCCAATTATATTGTGGCAAAGTTTGAATACATCAGATCACAGTAATCATAAGCCGCTGGTTAAGCGAGAGAGCGCAGGCGAGAGCGTCAAATCGAGGCGGTTAAAAAGGCTGAGTTCAAGTTGTCCGTAGACCGAGCTCTCTACTCCACTTATCCGGCTCAGAATGCTAGAAAAATTTAATAGATAGCTCACACAATTTGTTCAAGTCTGCTATCTAATGACCCCAAAAATTTCTAGAGGAGCAAAAATGAATACACGGAGACTTCCATAAGTTAGGCGATTCACGTTCTGCCTTACATACTAACAGAGTGAAACACAGCGACCGCTGTGAACACACTACCCTCTGGCTTACGGGTTTGCAGAACAAAAATTATGAGGGAACTTCAAGTGTAGTCCACACAGGACAAGGAAGAAAAGGAAACAAAAGTATCGAAGCAAAATCTATCTAATCAACGTACCTTCAGTTCCACTAATCGATACTTATCAGCAGCGATGAGCAAATCTGTCGCAATATCACCGATATCCTTCTGACACCGACCACAGTAGATGTAGTACACTAGCTCGTAAACTACGTCATAATCCAAATCAGAGATTTCCAACACACCCTGAATTTGCAATGAACATGTGGCAATCTTACGTATCATTACTTAGCATATGATGGTAGCAGTTTGTTATAATAATTACTGATGATTACTGATCTTTATTATGTTTATTGATGGCGCACCTTGAGTGCAT